ATTTGTATATTTGTATGTATTTCAGTAATGGATGTCATAAACACACATTTCACAACAGTGCTTACCCTACGGTATGCGAAGGACTCTGATATTTTCTTTTCTATTCTATTTCATTTGTATATGTACTTTTTGTGTGCAGGTAGTTTCCCTTTTTAGAAAATGTTGATCCTGACTTCGTAAATTGATATAATGTCTTACTAAAGAGGCGTGACCCGCATTTGAAAAAGCACTGGTTTGCCTATGAATTAGTCCTTTGAACATTACCCTAGAAAAAACAGTTTGACACACTTTGTCATCTAGGTGAATGAGAGAAGCCCATCAGAGTTGGCAGAGCCTCTGAAGCTGGGGACAAGACTTGCTTCTCTTTGGCTCTCTTAGCTGCCAGGGTTTAGCTCCACAGTTTACTTGATCACTTGGTTTTGTTGAGTCTAGGTTCTTTTTCTCAGATGACTTCCTATTTGTTGAGACTGATCTCTTCCTTTAGACTGGGAGATTGCTCCAAGAGGGCAAGAATTACAGTAATAGCTAACACTTCTATAGTGCTTTCTCTGTGCTAGGCACTTTGCTGTTTATGTATATTAATCCTCACCACAGCCTATATATTAGGTACCTTAATGATCTTCATTTTACAGGTGGGGAAACCATAGCATACAGAAATATGCTTAGCTTACCCTTCAATAGAGGTCTTCTGCAACTTACCTTAAATATTAATGGGTGAAATTAAGTTAGTTTCTGGGCTTATTAACTTTCCTTATGGCTTTTCTTACCACAAGTATATTCAAATGATTAGAGAGTAATAGAAATTGAATAAAAAATGGCACTGAACTTTGTCTGAAGGAATACAGTTTAGTTAAATTGGTCAGATTCAGCATTTGAATAATGACTGTGCTTTGAGCCCAGATATTAAAGCCCTGTAGTCTTCCTTCAGGCTTGGGTTTGAGAATGAATAATGTTACAGAAACACCCACATAGTCTTAGCTCATTATTTTACCAGTTTGAGATCCTTGATCTTTCTTCCAGTCCCTTGCCCACTGCAACAGCTGTTTAGCTTGGCCCATGCCTTCTGGGTTAATAGTATTTCTGACACAGTGTGAGTTTTCAAGTTGCTATGTATAATTTCTGCCAGAGTCTTTACTGCTGCCAGGCCTCAGGGTTGGAGGTTGCAACTGATTTGTGGGGGAGGGTGCTTGTCACTGACGCAGGAACAAGGTGCTTTCTGTAGCTCTGATTTGTTGCTGGCTGAGTGTGAATGATGTCAGGCAGATCAGAGGACAGCTGATTCATTTGGGATCTGGAACTTGCCACTGTCCCACCGCTGCCTCCTGGGCTCTTAGGTCTTTTGTGAGGGGAGGGGAGGGGTGTTCTGAAGATCATGTTTTTGGAGAAAAGTACTTTAATTTTTGCCGTAAGTTTGGGAAGCTTTTATAATTTCCTTTGGCTGACAGAACTGCATACCCCTTGTGTGAGAGAACTTCCTACCAAGACTCCAGTGTGAGGGCAAACTTGAGTAGCCAGGAGAATGATGAAACGGAGGCGAGAGAGACTGGGAGCACCATGTCTGCGGATTCAGTAAGGAGGCTGGGGTCTCTATGGAAACTGGCAGATGTCAGGGAAAAAAACTAATGCCAACTAACACAGCTTCGTTTATTTGGATGAAGACTGTTTTGGAGATGCCTGTCAGGAAGAGGGCTGAGCTGGCTTGATTAATTCAAGGTCAAAACAGTGGTCCTTGGCAGGGGCATATGAGGTTTCCAATTCCAGAAACTGAGTTAGATGTCATTTTAGGGGTTCCTGAATACTTGGGGAACTGAGTAAAAAAATGAAGACAATTATTTTCTTGCCTTGAAAGCAAATGTTTATTTAAAGTTAGTGTCGAAGCTGCAAATATAAGCCCCATGAATGTGAGAAACCAATGGAAACAAAAAGTACCTCCTCCTTTGACTAGAGAGGGTATTTCTGCCCATGGCCTGTCAGCTCAGGACCTCAGATCTGCCCTTGCAGATTCAAGCATGGGTCCTTTAGGGTGTGACCTGAATTTTATTTCTATATTGGCCAATATAGATATAAACTTTATTAGGTGAGAATATCAAAGCTGGGAGTGGAAGAAGGCTTCCTCTTCAGGGTGACTTTTCCAAGAGCACCTCAGGCTTATTTAATGAAGAAGTGCCAAGTGAATTCATCAGTAAATTAGAGAACCAGTGAAAGAAGAGACCTAGAATCCATTTCACCTCAATTATCTGTCTTGAACTGCCTTTGTTTAACTCACAGGGTGAAGGGAGTGTACTTCAGATTTTCTTCCTGAGTCAAACTGCTTGCCCCAAGACAGACAGGCTTCTTTAGTGGGCTTCTTTTGTGATGTTGCCCTTCAGTGTCCATGGATGCTTATTGATTGAGTTAATGATTCTGTTAGACCTTGAGAAACAGGATGTGTTTGAAGTGTATAGTTGGAGTATTGACACACTTCAAAAAAAAAAAAACCTTTTATTCCCATAGTGACACAAAAGTAAAAGACCATTTAAAAACAGACTTCATCAACTAATGTGTTATTTAAAGTAAAGGTCACTTGTTAACAAAATTAAAATTTTTTAAATGGAGTTTGTAGTTTAAGAAAACTTAAATGGTCAAAAATCATGGTTCTGTTTTTGCTTTTGACAGTGTCTTACTTTATGGCCCTGGCGGGAGTGCAGTGGTGCTGTCACAGCTCACTAAACCTTGACCTCCTGGGCCCAAGGGATCCTTCCACCTCAGCAGCTGGGACTACAGGCATGCACCACCAAGCCTGGCTAATTTTTAAATTTTTTTTTGTAGAAATAAGGTCTCTCTATGTTGCTCAGGCTAGTCTGGAACTCCTGAGCTCAAGTGATCCTCTTGCCTCAGCCTCTTAAAAGTGCTGAGATTACCATACCTGGCAAATCATGCTTTTCAAATGTTGGTACACTGCTGTTGGTAATCATTGAATCTGTTTTGTTGACTTTGAGTTAGAAAAATACCCCCTGAGGAGCTAATAAGTAGTTTGTATATCACCTTTTCCTTTTTCAAACAATCTTTTTTAGACTCTAGACACATTGTATAACCACTTTGCAGGGTAGTAATTAGGGGCAAAAAGAAAATAAAATATGCCGGCCTGGCGTGGTGGATCATGCCTGTAATCCCAGCACTTTGGGAGGCCGAGACGGGCAGATCACGAGGTCAGGAGATCGAGACCATCCTGGCTAACATGGTGAAACCCTGTCTGTACTAAAAATACAAAAAATTAGCTGGGCGTGGTGGCGGGCGCCTGTAGTCCCAGCTACTCGGGAGGCTGAGGCAGGAGAATGACATGAACCCGGGAGGAGGAGCTTGCACTGAGCCGAGATCACGCCACTGTACTCCCGCCTGGGCAACAGAGTGAGACTCTGTCTCAAAAAAAAAAGAAATTTGGCTTTCATAGATTTTTATAATTTCAGTTACATATTGAACAAAATGGCTAAACTTCATTTTATGTGATAAGACTTAAGGCTTCAAAATTTTGTATAAGCATATTATTCAGGTTAACAAGTAAGTACTGTGTAATGTTCTAATTGGTTCTAACTTATATATGAAGGAGCTTAACTTTGATATAGTTATTTGGAAGAGTGAAAATTCTTTTTGAAAAGGAGAAATTAACTTAAAATTAACATTTTTACTTTTTAACTTTAAAAAAAATGTTGAGTTTGTAGAAATATGGGCATAACTGTAATTTTAAATAGCTGTTTGCCCTCCTATATTCTATCCTGTTATGACCCCATATTGTGTATCCACCTGAGAAGTAAATTGAAGACCACTAGAGTGATAATGACTAGGAAAGTGAAGATTTCCTTTGAATGTCACTGTATCCATATTATAAACAGTCAGAAATAACAGTACAAGAAACTAATAATGTTATCATTTTGAAGTAGATCAGGTACTTATGTGATACTTAAGTAATTTTTTTACCTTGGAAATTAAATATGGTGCGTTTATAGAAAGCCATGCCCATAAGGTAGCAAATTAAATATTATGAATATTGTTTTTGTTATTTTTATCATGTGTAATTTCTACTAATGGTAGCAAATTAGAAATCTGTATTTATCACCTGTTTTCAATCTAATGATCTTATTTAATAATCTTCAATAGGACTTAACATGTCAAAATGGCTAGATTGTTTTTATGGGAAAAAATAACCTGGGAATCTAAAATTTAAGTGGAAGCAAAATACATAGTTAACTGACATTATCTGATACATTCATTAGAGAAAAGTTAGCTAAACAAATTAGTATTATTGTAGATATAATCAATAATTTATAAACTATTCAGAATGTTTTGCTCTTAGGGACATACACATTTTTCTAGGAAGTTTTAGTCATTGAACATTAAATATTAACTGTTGCCTGCTAATTGATGAGTTGTAGTAAATTTGCAATGTTTGGTTTGCCCAGAAACCAATTCTAAATTGGCTGGGCGCGGTGGCTTACATCTGTAATCCCAGCACTTTTGGGAGGCTTAGGTGGGTGGATCACTCGAGGTCAGGAGTTTGAGACCAGACTGACCAACATGATGAAACTCTGTTTGTACTAAAAATACAAAATGAGCTGGGTGTGGTGGTGCATGTCTGTAATCCCAGCTACTTGGGAGGCTGAGGCAAGAGAATCACTTGAACCCAGGAGGTGGAGATTGCAGTGAGCCAAGATTGTGCCATTGCACTCCAGCCTGGGCAACAAGAGCAAAACTCTGTCTCAAAAAATAAAAATAAAAATAAATAAATAACAAATATGTTGAGTAGCCAAATCTTAAATGTTGTATTTTAATTTTGTGGATTAAGTTTTTGTCTCTGTTGTCATCCTGTACCAACATTGGTACTAAAGTATGATATTGGAGAATGATTTTTGACCACTTACTTTTCTTGAACTTTTTGCCTAAACCAAGCCACTTTGAATATGTTTCTTTTTGGTTGAAAAGTTAATCACTGACCTTGTTTTTTTCCTGTTGTGGTACCTTGTCAGAATCTCTACCCTTTGCCGAGGAGCTGAAGTAAACCAGCACATGTTTTCACCCACATCTGCTCCAGCCCTCTTCCTCACTAAAGTCCCATTTAGTGCTGATTGTGCTTTGGCTACTTCTCCTCTTGCCTTTTTCCTGAACCCACGAGCCCACAGCAGTCCTGGCACTCCTTGTTCCAGCCGCCCACTGCCGTGGAGGTAAGGAAACTTGCTGTGAATCTGGGCCTTGACAATTGCTTCTGGCCAAATGGTAAAACCCATACCTTACTCCGTAATGGGGAGAAATGGAGTAAGAGTCTTGGTTCTGTCACAGAGAAGAGTGAAATAAATATCACAGATTTCTGTTGTATTGAAAATGTCAGGAGAAAGGAGGGTAGGTTATCAGTACTTGGATTTTTGAGGCTGTTATAAATTGTGTGCCCATCCTGACCATTGGACAACCTTGTGAACTATGACCTGTGACCACCCCATAATGGCGTGGCAGAGTGCTAGAACTCTTTGGAGGTTCAAAAGTTCAAACCTCACATTTTACACGACGGGAAAATTGGTGTCCACAAGTTAAATGGTTTGTTCAGGTTGAGGAAAATAGACCTTCTCCCCTTTCTTTCTGCGTTCCTTTTCTTACATTCAACATTATTTGATTATGTGCTATCTGCTAGGACACTGTTTTAGGCATGGGAAATAAAGCAGTGAACATAAAGCAATAAAATCCCTGTCCTCAGGGAGCTTAGATTCTAGTGGAGAAAGACAAGTTAATGAGTAAATATATAACATAATGGATAGACATAGTGCTTCTGAGAAAAATAAAGTAGGATAAGAGAATGTAGAGGCCAGGGTTTGACATTTTATGTAAGGTGGTCAGGGAGGTCCTCAGTAGTAAGTTGACATATGAGAAAAGACCTGAAGGAAGTCATGGAGCCCAAATGGAGATATCTGGAAGAAAAGTGTTCCAGGCAGAGGCAACATGAAGTGCCAGGGGCCTAATCTAGGAGCTTGCTCCATGTATTCTTTGTGCAACAGAGTCCAGTGATGCTGGTACAGAATAAGTTGAGTGGTGAGTGTTGGGAAGTGAGGCCTGAAGTATAGTGGGCAGCCAGATTAAACAATTTTGAGGCTTTTTGAGATGGAGTTTCGCTCTTGTTGCCCAGGCTGGAGTGCAATGGCACGATCTTGGTTCACTGCAACCTCTACCTCCCAGATTTAAGTGATTCTTCTGCCTCAGCCTCCGGAGTAGCTGGGATTGCAGGTGGCTGCCCCACACCCAGCTAATGTTTGTATTTTTAGTAGAGACAGGTTTCACCACGTTGACCAGGCTGGTCTCAAACTCCTGACCTCAAGTGATCCACCCGCCTCGGCCTCCCAAAGCGCTGGGATTACAGGTGTAAGCCACCAGGACTTTTGTTTTTATGCTGGGTGAGATGAGTAGCCACTGGAAGGTTTAAATAAGAATGTCATGATCTGACGTAGATCAAAAGATCACTCTGGGCTGGGTGCAGTGGCTTACACCTGTAATCCCAGCAGTTTGGAAGGCCAAGGCAGGCGGATTGCTTGAGTTCAAGACCACTCATGAGTTCGAGGCCAGCCTGGGCAACATGATGAAACCCCGTCTCTACAAGAAATGCAAAAATTAGCTGGGCATGGTGACGCATGCCTGTAGTCCCCGCTACTCGGGCGGCTGAGGTGGGAGGATGTCTTGAGCCTGGGAGGTGGAGGTTGCAGTGAGCTGAGATCACACCACTGCACTCCAGCCTTGGAGCAAGACCTTGTCAAAAAACCAAAAACAAACAAAAAAGCAAACAAAAAAACCCACTCTGGTTATAGTTAGAAGGCTACCAGGTAAGAGACAATGGTTATTTGAACCCATGGTGATTGAGATGATAAGAAGTGGTCAGATTTGGGGATGTATTTTAAAGGTGGAATTGATAGAGGAGGAAGAGATATCCAAGGATTGAGCTCTGGGGCAAGTTTTAGAGGTTGGGGCAATAGTGAGGAATTAGACTAAAATGAATTAACTATTCATTCAGGAGCAAGGACCAGGAGAAGTATCTTAGAAGCCAATTGAAAAAAAAAAATGTTAAAAAAGGAAAGTGTGATTGATCAGTAGGTATTTGTTAAGCTTTTTGTTAGAGAATAGTAACCTGAAAAACTAAAAGTTTAAGTGAAGCACGATGTATCACGCAGACTTAAGTGACATTATTTGATACAGGAGCTTAAATTCCACAGGCAGTTTGGGACAGTGATAGACTGCCATAGGACAATGTTAGAGGCTAACTTCTCTCAGAAGGCACCTCTTCTAGACGTACTAGCGCTTGGTGTATGAGGCTGAGAAAGATTGTAAGTTGGGTAGCCCCCAAGACGTACCCAGTCTTGGCACATGGTTTTGAATATCTCTTGATGTCTGTGGTCTCAGAACACACAACCTGGAGCAATACCGGTCTTACAGCTTTGGAGCTTGTTAAATTTCATGGAAACTTGTTAAATTTCATGGTTTTTGTTTTTGTTTTTCCATAGACTTGCTCACATGTTTGGTCACTGTATTAGTGCTTCATTCCATTTTTCTTTTGTATCCATGCCATGCAAAGTGCCAGTTCATTGATATGAGAAGATTATTTTAGCTTGTTTGCTGGATATTTTTATATTCCTTTAAACATTCTTGAGACTCTGGGATGCAGTTATTTAGAAATTGTTTGATCCTTTGAAGGATTACTTTTAGGCTTTGTTTGGTGAGACCAGGGCAGCACATGAGGCTAATTTTTTCTTACTACTAGGGCAATACTTTGAGTACTGTATTTGATGCCCATGTATTGTGAGTTTTTTCCACTCAGGCTGATGGGAACATGAACGATTCTGTGTCCTTTGTGAGCTCTGAAGAGGGTACCTACTCATTTTCTTGGATCGTTTCCTTACCCACATATGCTGATAGATATTCAGCTAAAAACCCAGAGGAAGCCCGTGCAGATCTCCAGAGTTCCCCTCTGTATATCTCTGTTTACTGTGGTACCCTGCCTTGAAAATTCTAGCCATCTTAGCGTCCCCAAGTTCTCAACTCTGTCTTCTCAACTCAGGGAGACTGCTGGACTCTTTTGAGTAGCCCCTTTGCTGCTTCCTAGACGTGTTCTTCAGGTCGTAAGCTAGGGCAGTCTTAGGGCTTACTTTGCATGTTTCCTTTTGGTCCAGTGTCTACAAACTATTGTTTCATATGTTTCATCTAATTTTTTTTGTTTTTAAGGTGCAAGGGTAAATCTGATCTCTGATTCCCCATAATGACGAGAAGCAGAAGTCTAGTCTTGCTAATATTTTGAGCTCATGCTTCTATCATCAGTTGTGATTATTGCTTTATGAGATTATTGGTTGACTGATTCACATGTTGCATAAGCCCAATAGAAGCAGATTCTTTAAAAATTATTCTATCTTCCTTAGTCAAGAAAAGTTGGAAAATGAAATATCAAAAGAGTAAGAATAGGTAACATTTGCTGAGCATTTACTATATCTTAACATTTTTTAAATGACTTACATTTGTTAAATTTGATTCTCAAAATACTCTGATGAGGTGGGTGACACATGTTCATTTTTTTTCGATGAGGTGGATAATCTGAGTAAATCTGTTTTATAGATGAAGACACTGTAGTACAGAGAAGTTAAGGAAGTTATTAATAAGCAGTAGAAACTACCATTCAACCCCACAGTATCTTACTCCAATGTCTGTGGTCTTAACCCCTCAGCTGTTGTTACAGGATCCTGGGAGGTGTTGCTTTTCTAGCTAGAAACCTCTGTGACCAGTGGCGCCTTTGCATGAGCTTTGCTCGGGCCTGCTGGGCCCACTTGGCCTGGCAGGCTACACTTGGCTCAAGCTACCAGCCTGGATCCCACACCTCCAAAGAGACTGGAGCAGAGTGGTGAGGGGTGTGTGAGCAAGCGAGCATAGGGTCCGGCCACTGCACACAGTCAGGCATGCCAACTGCTGCAGCAGGGCGGCCAACTCCAGGGGCTGGCATGGGTACTAGCTCACTGTGAGGCTGCATCAGGACCAGGCGCACCACAAGCAGCTTCCACAGCTGGCACAAGGGAATGCAGTGGTACCCAGAAGCTTGGAGACTCTGGGAGCCATCAGGCCCCAAAGTGGGAGTCACAGCTCAGGCCTGGGGAGCTCTCAGGTCTGGTCTCTCTGAAGGGCCGCAGCTCTTCTCTCCTCCTCTCAAGTTTTCCCCTTCTCTCTTCTCTCCTTGTCACCCACAATGTGGTGAGCAAGGGGCATATTTCAGCTCTATTTGTATTACAGCTGTTTTGGCCCTGCCATTCGGCGGGTCCCGAGTTCTTGTCCTGCATCCAGAAGGAATGAGGTACACAGACAAGTATAGGATGAGCAAGACAAAGGGGAACTTTGTTGAGTGATATAATAGCTTAGAGGGGACCCACGGTGGGTAGCTCCTATCTGTAGGCAGGTCCTCCCATTGAGTGTTCAGCTCTCAGCAGAGAGGAGGTCCTGGAATGGGTGGTTCCTTTCTGCAGGCAAGTGGTCCCATTATCTCCCTGTGATCCCTCCTCCCAGGTCTGGCTGAGTCTAGGGGTTTTTATGGGCCTCATAGGAGAGGAAGTGCATGCTGGTTGGTCCATGGGCAGCCATGGGTGGGCCCAGGGAAAAGCACCACAAGTTGCCCTTGCGGTTTCCAGGACTGGCGACCCAGCCCCCAGGCTTCAGGCTTTCCCTGGCTTGAAGGTGGGTCTTCACTGTGGACCAGCTTCCTTCTGCCCAGGAGCCTGTCTGCCTCCTGCTGCTGTTCATGGTGCCTAGGCTATTCATGCTAAGGAGTGCCTGCAGGCCAGCACTGGGCTGTCCTCAGCATACCCCTCAGCCTCCTTCCCATGCTTGTCAGTGCCCAAAGTCTGGAGGGGGCCAAAGTGGCAAGGGGGTTGGCGTGTCAGCACTGCCCTGAGCATATGCACAACCAGTTGGACTGTGACAGCTCCCGGGCTGGGCCCCAACTTTGCTCTGAAATTGGAGTAGGCACCGACAAGGGAGAAGCCAGGTAGCGAGAGTAGACAATTCTGAGCCTGCAAGGGGCAGGGGCCTTCCTAGGCCCAAGAGTTCAGAGATGCCTGGGTCCAAAGCTGCAGCAGGGCAGCAGCGGCTGCACCCAGGGAGTTCCCACCCAGGGGGCTCCCACCCCACCAACTCGGAAGGGGTGGGGCCCCCGCTT